ATTGTGCATTTTAGGGATGTTAATACAATTTATTAATTTCGTATTCATTATTAACAAGTAAAATCCTTCGTATGATAATTTGACCGATCTGAAATGAGTCTAAAAACAATAATTTAAAGTATGAAATAATTAAAAGTAAACGATAATTGATAAATTAGAGGCCTAAAGTAGAAAATAATGGTTTTTTCCGGGTGGCTTATGAGTTATTACAGGTGGTGGAAAATTGCAGGCCGCTGGGCGCCTGTGATGAAATGACAGGATTTCACTGACATTAGAAAAGGAGTAGCCGCAGTTTCATTTTTCTTCTCTATTATTTTCTTCTTCCTTATTGTTATAAGCGTTCTCATCCTAGCTTCGTATGGAGTTTTTATATTATGTAATAATAATCACATATCCCGTAAAAATCTGTAACATCTTGAAATATTAATATACAGGATGTTCCTCAGGATGAAAGTAGAGGGCAATTTTTATAGGTGTTATAGCAGAACTCAAGAGTTACAAAAATGTTCATATAAACAATCGGCTAATTTTCAGCAGAAAAGTAGAAAATCCAAATTTTGTGTTTTTTTTTTTTTTTATGTCATATTTTTTGTTGAATAAAAAGCGATAAGTAAAGATATATTTAATATAAGTAATTAATAATTGCTTCGCTGTAAACTAGATAAAATTTACTTCAAATAAAAGTAGAATTTGTTATTGTCAAAACCATCTAAAGAGGACTTTCTAGCGCCTAAACTAAGCTAAGTTCTGTTTTTAAAAAATCATAAATTCTTAGAATTTTTTTTTTTATCATCATCCAGCTACACTATAGATACCCCATTTTTACAAAAACTTCCTCGTTTAATAAGGTTTAAGTTCATATTAATCAAGTTGAGGTTTTTTAGAGAAAAACTTGAGATTCAACCCAAGTTATGTAAAAAAAAAATTATTTTTTTTTTTTTTATCATGTTACATTAAAGTATCCGTGTTTTAAAAAAAAAATGACTACAATAATTGTTGAAAAGCTTTTATTTCTTGTTTTACCATGACCTGGGATGTATTATAATAAATACAAATATATTTCCTAATTATATATTTTTTCTATTTTTGAAAGTTTTGTTTACAGTTTTAGAAATAGGTGTGCGGAGTGGCCGGGCGGACTAACGCGTGTACGTATCACCGTGTTAACTGACGTTTAACATATAAAAACAATTACGAGTTCAAATCCCGGTGCCCGGTGGGACTTTTAACCCCGCATGATTCCCTTTTCAGAGAAAATCCAAAAGGGCAATAAAAGGCAAGGATGTGGAAGAGGAGACAAAAAAAAAAATTTAGGAACAGTTCATTTTTCCATTACAGCGTATGTTATATTTACAAAAAAAAAATATATGTTGTAATAAATAATTATTTATAAATTATTTGTCAATTTTCTTTTCAGTTAAATAGTTATGATAATAATTCACTTATTAAGCAATAATAAAACTGTTATATCTCTATCGTGATTTTATTAATATAATCTTTTTTATTTTAAAACATGATTTCATGGTAACGTTTCGTCCTGAATATTATTGGCAATTTTCAAAAAATTAAATAAGCAGTTAACACAGTCTATTATTAATTTCCCTTTTTTTAACAGTATAACCTTTTTATTTTGGTAACAAAACATTTCTAAAATGTATAATTAAATAAACTTCAAAAACATATTTACTATATCATTATCAAAACATAATTTAATTTTAAAATTAATATTTGGGAAAAGTTTATTTGATTATTTATAAACTTCATTGAAGTTAGTAAATTACTTTTAAAATTATCTTATTCTCAGTTCTTTCAATAAACTGTTCGTTGAAAATTGTATCACTTTGTGGAAACCATACGTCACTATATGTCACTTATAATGTGAGAATAATTCACGAAGAATGCTTAAGAGCCCTATATGAATTTTTGATTGGCATTAAAGAATAAATTATAATGTTTTAAACCCTGAGGTATTAGGTAATGTTTTAACGTGTAACATCTCTAAAACTAATCTGTATTTCTTTTGAAATGATTCATAGAAATACATATTAATCATACTGATAATTAGATAAAATAAAAGCAAGAAATTGCTATTTGAATTATTATTTTGCTTTGATGCAAAGTAACCTCTCCATGGGCTGTTACATTTTTTTTATAGGATATGCGAAATAGTATAACTATAAATATGCATTATGTTAATACTGATTGTGTATAGGTATGCATGTGTTTTTTTTTTCTTAGTTTTAATTTTCTTATTTTTTAGGTTATTTTATTTTATTGTCTATTGTATATACTTTTGATTATTATTTTGTTCTATTTATTTTATTTTTTTGTACATATAGTGTGAATGTCATCCTACCTCACTATAACCAATGTCTAACAGACAGATTGTTATAATACTCAATAAAAAAAAAAAAATAAAAAAAAATATATGTTAATATATTTCTAATAATTTAATTACAGTATGTTTCATTTCTATAATAACAAACACTATTTTGATTTCATACGCTTCTCTTTTATTATTATAATTATAATATTATTAATAATTATCAGTAATAAACTATCAAATTAAACATAGATTTGATTTTGGCATCTTCTAATATCTGTTTATTCGTCCAGGATAACGATCTAAGGCTATAATGTTTTTCTTTTTTAATGAATCATTTTCTTGTAAAATACGTCTATTTTTGACCGTCTGTTACAAGACGGATATTAAGGTCACCTGTGACAAATTATGTTGTGACACGATAAGTGGCATTAAGTACAATGAGTATAACAATTCATTAGTTTGCTTGCGCGGCAATGCTTAATACAGCAAGGGTTATGGTACAATTATCTTCGTTTTTTTGTTTTCGTGTAATTCAATTGACACCTTTAATTTGATGGACTTCAAAATATATAAAAAAGTAGAGAAAAAAAGAGAAAAGTATACTGACTTTCTCTAGCTGATTTGTATAAATATATACTAGAGACAACAAGGGTCAAACTACTGAGGGAAACTAGTCCATGGTACAGACCCCTTTTTATCAAATTATTAACATCCTCCTAAACTTCGTGAATGGCTTCGTCTCATCGCAATCTACAATTTTTTCATCTACGAACATTCTCAGAAATGGAGCATTTTTAAATTAATTAATTTAATGAAGTACGATAAACAAAAACAAATGCACCCCCTCAAAAATCCAAAACCTCGCCAAAATGTGCTCCCCCTTAAAAGTTTTAAAGGCGCAACTTGCTCCATGAAACCCCCTTCTGGGGTTATCTCTGGATGTAGGTAATCCTGTTGATCATATAACATTTTTTTATAGATTATAGAGGTGGACCGAGAAAATTGAGAAAAAATTTCGGAGGCCAACAGATTAAAAAAGAATTAAAAAAAAAAAAAGGAATTAACAGTTAAAGAGTTAACTCGACAGTTAAAGAGAGCAACTTATAAACCAGAAATTTAACTATTTGTTTTTAGATCAGTTCGATTACTTCATAAAGGTGTTTTTTTTTTTTAATCTTTTCGGTCATTTTTAAAACATTTAAATTTAGATATTTTGAGATCTCGGGCCCTCTGCGTTGCCTTTTGCGACCCCTTAACGCCCGCTTATCGCTTAATCCGCTCCAAGATAGATTGGCAATTAGAGTTGTTGAGCCATTGCAAACTTGATAGAATTCTTCAAGGAATGTTTATGTATGTGAACAGATAGAGAGGTTTAGCGTTTTAATAATGTCATACTTTATATTATTAATCTTATTTCTGGAAATTTTTTATTTCCCCTATTTTCTCCTTTAGTTAATGTTCAAATTCTTTCAGAGTTCGTACTTATCCACCGTGTATCCTTTACTAACAATAATTTATTTCTAATGCACAATATCAAAGTTATTTTAGAGGAAAAGTATTGAAAATTCCGTATTTAAGCCCAATCAGATTATTCCAATGAGATTAATACCTATAAGATATTAAATAATATTTAATTTTATACGGATGTGACGAGTTTAATCAAAATCAAGTCGTTTTCGAGAAAAGTGTAAAATCAATAATATACAGTAACATTTCTTTGTTTAGTTGGTGACCACAGGACAGGTAAGTCGATTTTAAAAAAAAAAAGTAGCTTTAACATCCTATGCGTTAGTTATATTATACGCTTTAGGTTATATGCGTTAGTTATATTTCTATAGCTTGTTATATTAAATACATGATTTCAGTTTCATACGAATTTTCAATCGAACGCTAGATCGTTCAGTTACACATAGACTTTTTATGCGAGATTTGGTTATTCAAACTCGACCTTGAAACATGTATTTTCTTTGGATTTGGATTTCTTTATTCTATTCAGAAGAATTATTAACGATTTGGCTCAACCTAAAATATATAAATGTAAATCAGGTTCTGGTCAATCAATATCCCATGGTGTGAAGGCAAGGAGGTTAAGATGGGCGGGACATGTAGCTAGGAGCAATCTATCAGGTAGTCCCTGCACAAAATAGCCCAAGATAGGCAGAGGTGAAGAAGGCTGCTTTAAGACAAAAGATAAGAAAAAAAAAGAAGAAATATATAGGTCTATAATATAGACATTTCTGTCTATTTATACTTTAATATAGTTCCAATGGGAAAATCTGAAAAAAAATTAATATTACATATTAAAGTTATTGAAATTACTAGTATCAAATGTCTTCAGATTTTCCACGATTAACAACCTTTCATATCTTTCCCTTCTATTTCAGTTAGTACTTCATAAATTTTACCTCTGATATCAGCTATAAGATATTATACTTACTCTTTTTATCTGAAAGTTGATAAGGAAAAAAAAAAAAAATGGTTACCTGATCTCATAGCTCTGACTGAGGATACTTCTCAAACACTATCATAGCACACTAACAAGGAATACCATGAACAACATATCTACTTTAGTTTCTTGTCACAAACTACTTTGCACATGTGAGATCTCTAACTAGATTTTTTTTTTTTTTTTACAGGTGAGGTATGTATAAATGATGAAGAAAAGTGTTCTTACTTAAAGACCAGACGTGAGTGGAGCCGAACGAAAGAGAACACGGCACGAACAGTGAAAGTGAACTGCGAACGCCCCGGGCCTGAGATTCGAACACCCCAACCCCCTGCTAGCTCCCCCCCCCACCTGCGGGGGCAGCCCCTCCACCGGCTCGCGATCCGTCGTAGGGAGGACAATATGGTTGGGCAATCGAAATTAACTATAAGGCACATCATTGCCCCCTGGCGGAAGGTGGAAATAATGCCAAGGCTTCCTCATGTTCGTTCGGCCAAATCCTCATGCAATGAGATGCTCCAGGCTTGATTATTCCTTTAAGAAAGATCATTACTGTTTACACAAGACAGAAACCGAACATTTTCCAAACATTTCCTTCCTTACGGAAAAGATTTTGTTATTGCAAGTTATTGCATTTTTCATAACCAGGTATTTTTATCAGGAAACGCTAGTCACATTCATTACAGCGTATAATGAAATCAATAATTATACTTGAAAAGTACCGGTTTCAAGAGGGTAGGATAGGGATTTTAGAGCGATAAATTTCGAGATTATTACTCCCGAAGATTTAATAATTATTGCCGTTCTTGAACCTGTATAATGCTCTTTTACAAATTTGTATGTGTTTATTTATTTAATATTGTATTTGCAACTGCGTTTGCACGCATCTAGCTGATGTGCTGTCGTTTGTTTGTCTGCCATTTCTTTAAAATGTATACACATTGTGAGCAGATCCCGAAGCCACTGCCTTTTTTAGTATTCTTTGAGGCTCTCCTGGTAACAGGGAGGAAGAAAGTGAGAGGGCAAGAGGAAGGTTGATTAATAGCTGAAGTGTGGCATGTATGTATATGTTGTTATATATGTAGGTTTTTAATGTTGAAATGTTCATGTCGCTGTGTATGGTATGATTTGAAATACACCAGGACGCATTTAAGATTTTTCGAAGTATTTTGGACTGCGCTGTTTGTATTATGTTTGTGCGGACGTGTTTTGCGGGACCTCTAAGTTCTGCTTCGTATGTCCATATAGGGCATAGTATGGTGGTGTAGATTAGTCGCTTATCTTGTAAGTTGAGTGGAGATCTGTATGTTTTAATTTTCAAATTACCGTATTATATTATTACATAGTTTCTTCCCCCTCCCCCCCATTTTTTTTCTTTCTCTTTCTTTTCCATTTTTTTTTTTTTTTTTTTTTTTTTTTTTTTGTATACTGCTTCAAGAGGGGACTTCGTTCTGAAGCCCCTAAGAAATAGGATTTTTTTTCTTTGGTTCATATTTGTTTCTACGAGTGATCTAAGCCGACTACATACTATGTGCTCTCATTCTAAATTACAACGCATACACTTCTGCTACAAAATATATGCAATTATCAAGACAATGTATAAAAATGTTACCTCTAAAAACATTATTGTTCTTTAATTACCGTTAATTAAAAAAATATATAAATAGTTTTAGCTCTCTTAAAATTAAATCCTAAATTCGCTATTGACTTTAAGAAAATACAGCACAGTTTTTGTTAATAATATTAGCCATTAATAATTGATCAATATTTATTATGCAGTTCTTTAACATACCATATGACAAAACAAATCAGAGGTGCCCAGTGGAGTGGCACACACTGAGGCGAGCGTTCAGGTTCCTTGGACATCGCCACTAACTTCCTCAGAAAATTGCAGTACACTGCTCAAATTGAATTTGAATTCAAGCCATTTGGTCGATAAGATGCATGCATTAAAAGCCAAATAATAAAATATTACTTTATATTTTATCTTGAATATTTTTATTTTTTATATTCTATGCAAGTTGCACCTGCGCATCTAGCAAATTTGTTCTATTTAGACTGTTGGTGTATGGCTTGATTTTGTTTTTTATCGATATGGTAGGTCTCTTCACCATTTTCTTCTTAATCTGCTTCGTTCAGGTAAAAGGGAGCAGAAGATAAGAAGAACCAGAGGATTGGAGTGATTTTGGGTTGAAGAATGAAATGAATTTAATTCTGTATGTAATATTTTTTCTGTTTAAAAGTTATATGAATACCTATGGAATATTATATTTACGATAGCATGTTACGCACTCTTGTACTACTATAATCTTCTGGTATAAAATAATTATAAATTAATTGTAGGTAAAGTTCGGCGATGAGTAGAAAATTAATTATAAATTAAATTTTTTTTTCTTTTTTATTAATGTTCGTCTTGAGTCCTTAGACTTTTTTTTTTTTTTTGTCTTCTTAATATTTTACTGCTAAGAAGCATTGTAAGGGGTATTTTGCTTTTTTTGTTGTTTCTCACCTCTGGCTTGAATTTTTTTTTTTTTTATATAGGGTTTAGAATATAATAATTTATATATATATATATATATATATATATATATATATATATATATATATATATATATATATAGTGAAATAATTATTATTTTCAGAAGTTAGGTCATTTCATTTAATATATATATATATATATATATTTTTTTTTTTTTTTGGCCGCCTGAACCAGCCTTCTCCACCTCTGCCTATCTTGGGCTACTGCTTTCCAGTTTGCTGCATGGAGCTCAGCCGTATCTTTGTTTATCCTATCTATCCATCTGGTTTTTGGCCTTCCACGTGGCCGAGGCTGGTTTTTGGTTTCTTAATATGTTGTTTTTGACGGGACTGGCTTATTAGCCCTATTGCCCAACCCCCAACTTGGAGGACCAGGAGCTATGTCTGCCACAGGGTCACTCACCTCCCTGCGGTGTGAGTTGCCTCCAGTAGGCTGACGGGTCACTCATACCCCAGGGGTGGAGGAATCTCGGGCAGCGTCGTGTAATTCCGTGGTGGACGGTCACCCAAATCGGGCCGTCATCCATCCAAGTACTGACCACGCTCGACGTTTCTTAACTTTGATTACCTATTGCAAGCGCCTTAGCCCGTACGGCTACCCCGGCCCCATATATATATATATATATATATATATATATATATATATATATATATATATGTTATATATGGAATTTCATAAAATTAATTTTCAATTCGCATACAAATTCACTTTTCACAATTTTATAAACACATTCAACAAATTCAAACGCGCATTTTTCGCTTCCTGTGATATTCCTGAGATGACAGCCTGAGATACATTTATTGAGTTCGTGAATTTGATATGAAAAAATCGGAATCGATATTTTAATATGTCTTTGCTATTATCAACATTTGATAGATCTATAGGAACTAGAAAAGTTCAATATACAGTATTCAGTTCAACATACACAGTATTTATTCAAATATTAATAACATTTTTGAAACATGATAAACAGTTCCGTTTTCATTTTGATTTATTGAACAAAATATATATATATATATTTTTTTATATTATTGCTTTGACTTATAAATTGCCATTTATATCAGATATTTTATGTTAAATAGTTATTGCTTCATTCAAAATAATTATTTCGTGCAATTTAAGTATTACAAACATAAGTATTTCACGTAACATAAATATATTAAAAATATTCGCGGTAGATATCAAAAGATATTAAAATCCGTATCTTATTGTTTGTATTGTAAAAAGTACATTATTCTGATATTGTATAATTTATTATCAATTTAATGACTACATATAAAAAAACATAAAAATATTAAGTTACATCAATGTAATTACAAAAAATAACATTATTATTTTTTTTGTAAACTAAGTTATTAAACTCTAAACATGTTTGTAATGTGGTCAGTATAGACAATTATGCGTTATTTAGTCAAAAACTTGCTTGATAGTAACTCGAATACGTTAGTAAAAAAAAATATATAAAATCCAAAAGTAATGATAGTCGTCCTAAATTCAACGTTCCTGCATGTTAAATCCTAAAAAACTTCCGGAGTGGCCGGTTGGGGCAAAATCTGAAAACTGTTTTTAGAAGTTCAAACCTTTGTAAACAATGGAGTCTATCTATTTTATTTTCGGGCGATTTGCGAAAGGATCCAAAATTGTTTGTAATTGTTGAAAACATTGTAACAATTATTTATATTTTTTAAAATTGATGGTTCATCTGTCGTAGGATTCAGTAGAAGTAACTAATTCTGCCCAGCAAATACCGTTAGGTCTGAAAAAAATTTTTTTTGTTTTAGACTGTTGACGAAATTAAGAGACAACTCATCTAGAACATACACACCAAAAATAAGAGCTGACCAGACGATACAAACAACTGTCACATCTCTTAGACTACAATTCTGCAATCAACTTACAAAACAAGCTACGAATCTGCACAACCATACTAAGGCCTATCTGGACGCGTGGAACGTTGGGTTCCCACAAAACACGACCACATAAACAGAATTCAAACCGCCCCAATTCAAAATAATCAGAAAAATCGTAAATGCAGCTTGTTTTTTTTTTTTTTTTCAAATCACACCATATACAATGCCATGTATATACATACCAACATTAAAATCCTACATGCATAACAAATACACAACATTCCATTCCTCAAATATTTGTTATTTGAGCAAATATATCATCCATATCCACTCGTCCTTTCTCTTTCTTCATCCCTTTTACCTAGTGAGCCTCTAAGAAGACTAAAAAGGCAGTGGACTAGAGATCTGCTCACAGTATAAATAATTATCAAGAAAAAAGAAGGCAAAACGAGCGACAGCACATTTGCTTGATGCGTTGCACCGCATTTACAAATACAATTTGAAATAAATAAAAAAATATGGCCGTACGCTTTGGGTGGAGAGTTCCATTTTGGAGAGATTTGGGTTCAAACTGACTAGGAATTCTCAGTATTCTTTTATTTTTTAATTTAAATATTTAATATTTATTTATTACCTGATCGCCTCCAAATCCTTGGCACTTTCAATCTGGTCCAAACATGTTTGCAACCTCTTATTACTTTAGCTAATAGGACCAATTGGCCCGCTCGCCCTACTCTAAGCCAATAACGATTTTTAAACTACTTGAGAATATAGGATATAAGTATTTTAGCTGTTTAGAAATGAGGTACTGGTACAATTTTAAAATTGACCAATCCTTGTAAACACACACGCAATCATGTACATATATCCATTTTTAAAAATTTATTGGTGCAATGCTAGAAAATAAATAAA